GCTGTGTTTTAATGTTTTCATGTTGTATTTTAATCTTGTTTTTAAATTGTATTCATTCGACTTGTTTTTATAATTGCTTGTTAGCCGCCCTGAGCCCGGCCTATTATTATTATTATTAAATATGAATTCTGCTGCACATTGGGTTAATGTGGATATGGGATGAAACAGATTGATGAGTGAATATGTGCAAAATTGACATTCCTGCATTGCAGGAGGTTGGACTTAGATGACCCTCATTCACCCCTAGCCACCACCAGCTAGAATGACCATTGCCAGGTTTGATGGCTGAGTGGTCTAAAACAATATTCAGGTGTCTTTGTATGCTGAAAGTCCCATACTGTGCAATATATTTAGGAGCAAAAAACATCCCAGTGTTGCTATGCCCTATAGTGAACTAGATGTGCTTGCAGGGAAGAATCATGGGAAAACAAAACAGATCTTAGCTCCAGGCTTTTTCATGGAGTTATTTGTGGACAAGTTGGGGTAGGGGGAGTGAAAATGGTCATTGGAAAAATTATGAAAAATACTTTGATGGTCCTTTAAAGTTGCTCAGCTGAGAGCGAGTTCCCAAATTGCAGAACATGTAAAGCATCAACTGCTTAATCCCGTGGCTGCTGTTGAGAGCAAGAAGGCATCAGCATAAATATGTATATTTTAACTAAAAGCAGCCAAAGAGTAGAAAGATGCAGACGATTGGAGTGCATGGAACACCAAGAGAGTGAGGAAGCAGCTATTTTAGCTAATGTAATGTAATGTAATAGAAGACCCAAACTGCCACAGCAGAACTTGCTGCATAATTAGATTGTAAATCTTCTCAGCTGAGGAACTTTTGCCCGGGGTCAAGTTGTCGAAGTAATAATCCATTCTACATAAATTAGAAGATTCGAGCTGCTTGGCCACATTGTTACCGTTCCCTTTGTTTTCTTCTTTGTACCACAGCTCCCCCACCCCCAAATGTAATATTTTATTTGATCTCTGGGACAAAAACAAGACACCCGCCCCCCATGATCAGCATTTTTTTGGAATATCTATTTAAATGCGAATTGCCCATAATTTCTCGATTGACCCTGTTAAAAAGGCTTCCAAGAAGTTCAGTTGTGATTAGGTGGAAGTCAATGAGGCTAAGAGAAATGGACGTGGCAAGTCAAAAAGACATATTGCATCTGGCATGGGAAGAAGATGGAGGAAAAGGCCAAGGTGTTTTAAGAGCTAAGATGGCTGGTGTTCATTGGAACTAGTAGGGTGGAGGACAGGGAGGCCACCAGCAGGTGGCGCCAGAGCCAATCACAGGGTAAAAAGGTAAAGGGACCCCTGACCATTAGGTCCAGTCATGACCGACTCTGGGGTTGCGGCGCTCATCTCGCTTCCAGCATGACTAACACGGAAATGCCGTTTACCTTCCCGCCGGAGCGGTACCTATTTATCTACTTGCACTTTGACGTGCTTTTGAACTGCTAGGTTGGCAGGAGCAGGGACCGAGCAACGGGAGCTCACCCCGTCGCGGGGATTCGAACCGACCTTCTGATCAGCAAGTCCTAGGCTCTGTGGTTTAACCCACAGTGCCACCCGCGTCCCTAATCACAGGGTAGAGTCAACTAATTCTGGTTTTGCCCTCCACCTGTCCTCCCTACTGAATTATATAATGATAACACTGAGACTAAAGTGAAGGACCACACCAGGAATGTATGTAAGTGTCGAGGACTGACTGGATCCAGTGCTTTTCTTCTTAAAAAAATGTTTAGGGGTACTCTCATTTTCCTACTCATATTGAAATACTGCCCCTCAATGAAGCTAAATTTAGATTCACAAAATGTTTAGGGCTATGCGTTCCCCTTTGTCCCCCCAGAAAAAAGCACTGGCTGGATTCAGAGGAGTGGTAGGAGACACCATCTGGGGAACCCCCAAGGGAAGAAGGTTCAGAGCCAGGGGGTTGGTGGTGGGGTGACGATGAGAGGTCAAAGGGAGAAGACTGGGAGGAGGAAGAGGTGTTGGAGGCTGAAGGGGCAACAGTCTTTAGTGAGCAGGAAGAGGCTGTGGCAGAGAGCAGTCCAGATTCAGTGTCAGGAGAGGAAGAGGGCCAGGAGACAGAGATGAGGCAGGTTGCTGAAGAAGCCAGGCAGTCTCCCCCTCCTGCTGCGACCAGCTTCCCTCATCCTTGGTCTCCCAGAACACACAGAGAAATGAGAAGGACAGGGCAATGAGTAACAAGAAAGCAGAGCCTTAGGGTGCTGGGGAAGGAGCCTTACAGAGCAGTGGGAAGGTGGGGACCTTCAGTTTTCCTGACTGCCTCATTGCGGCAAGACCTACGGGGAAGAGTTGCTGTGATCACTTGGTTTCTTTGCATAAAGAGTTAATTTCACTGACACCAGTTTTATCGCTGACCTGCACCGGACAGATGGCAAGCTCTGGGAGTGTGCATGTGTATGTAATCACCCCTTTCTCTGTATGTGATAGGTTCATTCCCTGTGTGTGCGTGCAAAACCACCGCTTTCTCTCTCTGTGTGTGCCCCTTTCCTTCCATGGCTAAGATTTGCAGACTGAGATTGGTAAGGCAGTGCCCCAATGCACTAATGGACCAACCTTCTCTGTTCAAGAGGGTCTCAAATATAGCAAAGTCCAATTCACAGGGGGTTCTGCAGAACCACGGGGCAACGCAGCAGGGCACGGACCCATGGTTTTCCCTCTAGATATGGGGGGCAAGGTCAGCGAAGTTGCAGAACTTCTCCCAGCAGCACGGTCCCCACTAGCCAGACATGAGATTGAGGAAATTGGCCGAGTCTGTCAATTATAATTTCCCTCTGTTTCTCATTTTTTCCAGCTCTCCGCATTTTTGCATTTTCTCTTAATAAATACATCTGTGTCTACAATTCTGCCAAATCAACACCTTCTTGCAAGCAGTTTCCACTAATATCTGTGTGCATGCACATGAAAGCTTATACCAGAACAAACTTAGTTGGTCTATAAGGTGCTACTAGACAGTTTTTTATTTTTTATTATTTTTATTTTGACTGTGTCAGACCAACACGGCTACCTACCTGAATCTACTAATATGCTTTCACATTTCTATGCAAACTTTCCCCTAACATATACATATATATATATCTGGCTAGAGAACGATCTTGAAAAATTATTTTCTGCAACAGCTCTCTAAGTTCTTATAATATGAAGACAAACGTACATTTTTCAAGGTTTTCCATTGCTGGGCTATTGAAGCCCTACTGCAGCCACCATCCATGAGAAAAGTTCTTTAGAGTGACAAGCTTTTCATGTGATCAGTCCACATATTTAGCAATGACAGTTATGGGAAGGCCTAAAGAAGTGATGTAGTTATTTCAGATATTTCTTGAGGCCAGAATGATGAAAGAAGCATGGATTTTGAAGGGTAGTTGGGTTTTGGTTTGCAAATTGTGGTAGGAAGTACAAATTGGGTAGATTTGTGTTAAAGCAGGGGTCAGCAACCTTTTTCAGCCGTGGGCTGGTCCACCATCCCTCAGGCCATGTGGTGGGCCGGACTATATTTTGGAATAAAAATGAACGAATCCCTATGCCCCACAAACAACCCAGAGATGCGTTTTAAATAAAAGGACACATTCTACTCATGTAAAAACACACTGATTCCTGGACTGTCCGCAGGCCGGATGGAGAAGGCGATTGGGCCGCATCTGGCCCCCCAGCCTTAGGTTGCCTACCCCTGTGTTCAAGCATGACCCAAACCAAATCTAACCTGCATCCTTACCTACACATAATTAAGCATAAAGGGGACTTAGAAGAATCGGGCATCCTTGGCAGCGGAAAATAACAATGTGAGCAAAGAAGGGAGGGGTGGTCAGGGGAAGAAAGAATCCTAAGGAGAAAATTAAGATCTTCTTTCCCCAATTCAAAACAACCTGCTCTCATTACCACGTTTGTAACTTTAATTACAATCTCCCTATTCAGTGTTGAGGTTCCTTTCACCTTTTAAACTGCTCTGTGTTATTACTCAACAGCAAAGGAACATTGCCTTTTGTGTAGGAACTCCAAAAATAAAAAAAGAAATCAAGACCTCAAGACTGCTTGTGAGGCAGAAATAATCCAACCATTATTTCTGGTGTAAAAGGTTCGTGAATTGCATCATTTGCCTAGAAGCTCTTTTCCAACCTAATAACTCCCTGGCATAATGACCTAAAAGGGTTTTTGAGAAATATTTATATATATATATACTTTGGCCCATATTACTATACGATGGGAGGGGAGCCCTTTAACATCCTGATTGGCTGGGGGATAACCACAAAGTTAAGCTATAGCTGCTTACTTGGAAAAATCACGAATGTTCTTATTCTCTTAAGTCAGAAAAGTGAAATATCAAAGTAATCCAAGAGAGTGAGAGACTGCCAGAGTTAAAAAAATTTTTTTTTTTTTGAAAAAAATATCTTATTGCTATAATGACCTTCGTGATGGTCATTTAACTAGCTTTTTAATCCCTTTGAGGAAAGCTTTCTTCCTTGGGGAAAAAAAATCCTCTTCTTTAACCTGCCTTGGGCAAAAATCATCCCTACCAAACTAAAAATATAGCAGAACTATAAATCCTCACTTAAACTTAAGCACCCTTCACTGCAGAGAGTTGGAAGAAGAAAATGATGGTGTTGATGATGATGAGCAGGTCTGGACTTTCAAAGGCTATCATGGCTTGGGGAGAAGCTGCACTCTGCAGTGGGATAGAGCTGTTAAGCTACATTTTGAAAAGATCTTCCTTAAAGGCATTTAAATGGACAGCCGTGGTCTGTAACCAAATGTTGTGCATCTTTGAGAAGCCATCTCTCCTTTCTCCATTAGTGGTGTCTTCTATGATTTTTTTTGAAGGCAGAAGAGTGGGTTGGGCCACTTTGGATTGCATGTGCAGTGTTTTAATTACCCTACTTTTTGTATAGAAATAAATAAATAACCCATAAAAAATAAATTCCAACACATCAGGAAGAAATGTTGGAGCACAGGCCACTCCCCACTGTGCTAATTTTTCAATTTGCTCCCAAGTCTCTTATGGGGATCGAACCTGCAACTTTGGCGTTACCAGCACCACGCTCTAACCAACTGAGCTATCCAGGCCAATGTAGGAGTGCATTCAATGAGACTCCTCCCACCCACCGCATGGAGTGGCACCATCCATCGTCTCACCAGAGGCCTCTGTTGCCTCATCCTCTGCTCAGGGTGATGCAAGTAGACCTCACTGCGGAGTTACCTTCATCTCCTCCATAGGTTCCTTGGACTGCTGCTTTGAGTAGGAAAAGGTTGACTCCTCAATCTCTTGCCCAAAGGATGGTCCCGATCCAAACCCATTCCCTAGCAGTCACATTTCCCCACCCTCTCACTTCCCTTAGACAGGATTACATTCAAGGTATCTCTGTTCTATTAGCCATGGTTGTCTCTCCCATCAAAGCCCACCGGGCTCTTTTCAGGGGCCTCTCCAAACAATGAGTGCAGTGAGGCTGTTCTGTCTAATTACTCCAAGACAGGGATGCTAAAGAGGAATTAATGACAGTTGACAAGTGCAATTAATAATTATAGCAGAGCCGCGAGTCATGCAGCAGGCAGATGACAATAACAGGGTAACCGTACATGACAGCTCTTCAAATGCCTCTCTTCTCTCTTCCCCTCCTTTCTCCTCTTCCTCCCTTTTCTCCCCTTTAATGTGAATTGAGGTCCAGAGGAAATGCTGACAGCAGGGTGCAGGGCATGCAGAAGATGTAAGTCCCCAGTCCCTCCCTCCCCAGAGATGACGGCCCCCATCACACTGGCCAGGAAGTCACCCTTTGTACATGTTCTCACTTGTTCTTGCTATCAGGTGTTTTGTGTGTGTGTGTGTGTGTGTGTGTGTGTGTGTGTTTTCCAAGGCTGCTTAAAATTCATCTGGGAAGGCTGGAAGGAGGAAGGGGACAGGCAGGAGCAGCAGCAGCGGCAGAGCCAGAGTTGAAGTGGTATTTCCATATCAAAGGCCAGGCGGTTGGCTGGGAATGGTAATTAAAGTACCCAGATTTCATCTCCTTGGTCAGCTCATGAAAGAGGAGGTGGGGAGGATGGATGCAGAGAGAAATTAGAGAGAAGCTTCCCCCCCCCCCGATTTCTCCTTCCCTTTAGTCTCCAATATTGCGAGCAGAGCATTAAATGAAAGTTGGGCTAAAAGGTAACCTACCTCTTCAGTTTTGAGGTCCAGTGGTATGTATGTTTATGTATTTCCCCCCCCCCCCGAATGCATTTATTGATATGTTAATTTCACACGGAGGAATACTGTTTGTTCAGGTACGCATCTACGACTTCTCATGTTGATCTCTGATATCATAGAATTAAAAAGTTGGAAGAAGAAGAAGAGTTTGGATTTGATATCCCGCTTTATCACTACCCGAAGGAGTCTCAAAGCGGCTAACATTCTCCTTTCCCTTCCTCCCCCACAACAAACACTCTGTGAGGTGAGTGGGGCTGAGAGACTTCATATAAGTTTGACTAGCCCAAGGTCACCCAGCAGCTGCATGTGGAGGAGCAGCGAATCGAACCCAGTTCACCAGATCATGAGTCCACCGCTCTTAACCACTACACCACACTGGCTCCCTGGAAGAGACCCAGACCCAGGTTAGAGTTTAGTCCTGCCCAGACCTTGAACACTGGCTCTCTCAGATGTGGAGTGAAGAGAGCTGGACCCTCCAGCTTATCTCCATGTTATTATTTTTATACTTTATTGAATTTATATATCACTCTATACCCAGGGGTTTCATGCTGCCAGTGATGTGGAGGAGCCATCAGACTGGACGTCCTCCACACCATTGCATAGGTTTCTGACCTGCTTTCAGACACCCCCTCATCTCCCCTAGGGCCACAAGAGCAGAGTTTATGGTGATCTAGGCAAGAAACTCCCTTCCTGCGGCTGCCACAAGCTGGTATTCAGAAGCCTTGCTACCTCAGACAGTGGAGTCAGAGCTTAGCCATTTGGTTAGTTGCCATTGATAGCCATCTCTGCCATGAATTAATCTGGTCCTCTTTGAAAACCATCTAGGCTGTTGGCCATCACTGTCTCCTATGTAAAAGAGTCAAACTGCTGTGTTAGCAGCACCAAAGTGACCTCCCCGGGGCACAAGCCTGGGCAGTATGTATGGAAGTCCTGGGCTGCCTAGGCAACAAGACCACCCCCTCCCCATCAGCTTCACTGATCCAAAGGAATGTGGTCCAAAGGAAAGCAGAGCAAGACATGTGGCACCAGCAGGGCTGCAGGAGTTGCCGAAGGAGGAATACAAGGCATCATTAAACCGTATTACGGACTCCAGTCCAGATTGTGTAGGGTTTACTTCAGGCTTCCTCAACCTTGGCCCTCCAGATGTTTTTGGCCTACAACTCCCATGATCCCTAGCTAGCAGGACCAGTGGTCAGGGATGATGGGAACTGTAGTCTCAAAACATCTGGAGGTCCGAGGTTGAGGAAGCCTAGTTTACTCCTTAGTCCTTTTTTCCTCCAAAAGACAGGCAGCAGACGTTTAGGAACAGAGTTTTCCTTCTCCTAGATACATTACTTTCCCAGGTTGACAAGCCCCAACTGTCCTTCACTTCCTTATACAGCATGTGCAGAAACCAGAAACTTCTTGACCGCTGGACCTGCTATTGGTCTTGTCCGCTTGTTACAAAGAAGTGAAATGCTTCATATACAGTGGTACCTTGGGTTAAGTACTTAATTCATTCCGGAGGTCCGTACTTAACCTGAAACTGTTCTTAACCTGAAGCACCACTTTAGCTAATGGGGCCTCCTGTTGCCGCCGCACCACCGGAGCACAATTTCTGTTCTCATCCTGAAGCAAAGTTCTTAACCTGAAGCATTATTTCTGGGTTAGCGGAGTCTGTAACCTGAAGCGTATGTAACCTGAAGTGTATGTAACCCGAGGTACCACTGTACAGTATTTGTAATTTAGCTTGGTACTTTTAACTTAGTACAGTGGTACCTTGGGTTAAGAACTTAATTCATTCTGGAGGTCTGTTCTTAACCTGAAACTGTTCTTAACCTGAAGCACCACTTTAGCTACTGGGGTCTTCTGCTGCTGCTGTGCCGCCACTGCACGATTTCTGTTCTCATCCTGAAGCAAAGTTCTTAACCCAAGGTACTATTTCTGGGTTAGCAGAGTTTGTAACCTGAAGCGTCTATAACCCGAGGTACCACTGTACTTCAAACTTAGCATCCAACTTTTCCTCCTCCTCCTTTCCTCTCCACATTCATATTGGCAGTCAGCCATGTGGGTTTTAGCCCACTTCTTTTTAATAAACAAAACTGCAATCAGGAAGCTGGCTGGATCAAATAGGATCCGGTGCATCAGGGATGCTGATCGCCGGGTCTGGGTTGGTTCATGTGGGGAGAGGTGGTCTTTGAAGAACTGGGGTCCTGAGCCCCATGAGGCTTTATAGGTCAAAACTATTACTTTGTACTGAGCTTATAAACTTCATTGGCAGCCAGCACAGTCATGCCAGAAATTGTGTTATTAGCCTGAACCAGCAGGGCTCTCTTTGGGTAAGTTGTCACAGGCAGGGGTGGTCCATGACATTTTGCTGCCTGAGGTGCAGCAGTAACACCCCTCGCCAAAGTCAAGATACATAGTAGCCAAGGTTGGTCAAGTTATTTTGTCACCTGAGGCAGCAAAGCCCACAAGCGCCTTTCCCTGGAAGCAAAACTTTCTGCTCATTCATGACACTCCAGATCAGCTGCCTGAGGGGGGCTGCCTCACTCTGCCTAATGGTAGGTCTGCCTTGCTTATGGGACACCTTATTTGGGCATGCAGTGGCCATATTAAGTGGGGAAAATGGGAGATAAATTGCCATAGCATTACATGTGCCTGACCATCTACGAATGATGTCCATTGTGTCATTGTTTAAAAGCATTTGATATAATTTCAGCTTCATGGAACATTTCCCACCTCCGTCCAAGTTTTATTTTGCATTTGGTTTGGAGATTAATTTAGATCAATATCAGGGATTGACCGCCTCGCCCCTTGCCTACAAGATGCGCAGACTTGCAGAATCTCTTGCTTTTCATCTTCCAGACTGTCCCCCTCTCTTTAAGTCTCTCTCTCTCTTAAGCTCAAATGCATCAATTTATACCTGGATGTGTGTGTTTAAAAAATAATAATACTTTGCTACGGGGGCCCTGAAACGAATAAAACTGTGATCCTCAATGTGGCCATTGTGCTTGCCTCATTTTTCTCCCCCCCACCCCCCACCCCCGGTATCGATTTATCAGCTGAGAGAAATTACTCGCTAGAAGAGAAGATGCCAGTCGGAATGACATTTACTTCATCGTAGAGGGAGGCTCTGCGGCGGGTTTCCATGTAACCCAGATATTGGAGCTGTAAAAGGCCTTGTAACAAGGTTTAGTGCTATGATTTGATCGTGTGGTGCACCTTCGCTGTCATAATAACAGCCACTCTGCTGGAGCCAAGGCCCTTCGGTTATGGCCAACTTTTTCTGTCTTGCCCCCCCCCCCATCCTGCTTTTTACACAGACAAATGAACTAGTTTTACTTCCTCTCTCTCTTCTCTCTCTCTCCTCACCCCGGCATCAAAATTTCTGGAACAAAAGCAGGGATCACAGAAGTCTATAACATACAAGGATTTAGGCTTTCATGTCATGGAATTATTTTTTTCTTAAAAAGAGAGAGAGAGAGAGAGAAAGGCAAAACGCACCCTTATTAATCATTTGAGCTTCTTTATATCTTCCCTTTTTTCTAGTGAAATAACTCTTACGATTTTTAATTCACCAAAGCGAATCTTCTTCACCAGTGATTGTAAGTTACATTTGCCTAAGGCTACAATTACCTGCAAAATGAAAGGCTTTTGTTGTTTTTTTCAAAACTACAACGTGGAGTGGGGTTCATAATTTTATACGTGCCACACATTAAAATGCGGTTGTTTGGATCGAGGGTGAAGCTTGTGCACAGTTCTGACCTGATATCCTGGCCCAACTGCACTGGCTGCCAATTAGTTGCCAGCCTCGATTCAAAGTGCAGGTTTTGACCTATAAAGCCTTAAATGGCTAAGGACTGCAGTACCTCAAGAAGGGACCGCCTCTCCCCATATGAACCGA